GTAACCATGGCAATGAGAGACAATATACGATAGAATGAATGTAAAACTAATGTTCTCTCATGTAAATTATCACATAATTCACAATAAAACATTTTAAAAAATAAATAAAAATAAAAAAAGTGATCTGTTTCAGAGGACCCTAGGACCATCAAGGGAGAAGAGCATAAGTGGAATGTGGGACCCTAGCCAGAGAAGCAGCGACACCAAAGATGGAGGCAGAGATGATGACATGGAGAAAAGGAGCAGCTGAGGACTCTAGACTCATGGCAAGAGAGGGACTGAGAGCTGGCGGTCAGCAGGCAGACTTGGCAGAATGTGCCCTTTGGTTGTTTAAAACGATTATATATTCCTGAGTGTTTTTGAGTACATCAAAAAAAAAAAAAGAAAAAGAAAAACAGAGGGAATGGAAGCAAATACTGTTGAATGATGCACGGAGGAGACTGTAATCATTATAATGAAATGATGAGTGTACAACTGATGTTCTCCCAAGTAAACCATCACTCAGTTCACAATAAAAACTTGAAAAAAAAAATTTTTTTTTAATCTGTTCCATTGCTTTGTTTCTGTCAAGGACTGGAGTTCCCACCCTGGTGTTCCAGAAGCACTATGAAAATAGAAAGCATGGTGCCAATCTTCACACAACTTAAAAAATCTCTCAATTCCCACTCAAGCCTTAAACAAGCTTAAAGATTCTATTAGGTTCAAATGTTGAAAACGGAGGCCAATCTAAAAGGTTGGCAGGGCACCTTCCATCCTGGTCTCTGAATTCCAGGTGGTCAGCTGAGGCGCTAGCTGCTTCATCCATGGCTAAGTGTGTCAAGGAGAGGGGAGGAGGTGCAAAACTCTTTAAATGTCCATATCCTACAGTCCCACCACCCTCCTTCATCTGATTTGAGTTTTCTCATTTAGAACTTCACACTGAGATCTTCCTGTATTCAGCTCAGGGTCCCTAGGTGGCACAAACAGTTAACATGCTACTAACTGAATGTCTAGAGGTTCAAGTCCACCCAGATGTACCTGAAAAGAAAGGTCTGGTTATCTGCTTCTGACAAAAAACACTACACAATTTAACAACAACAACAATAGAACAAGTGTAGCCAGAACGCTCCTTAGAAGCCAGAATGACATGACTACGTCTTACCCACTTTGACATGTTCTCAGGAGGGAATGGTCCCTGGAGAAGGACATTATGCTTGGAAATGTGGAAGGTCAGCGAGAAAGAGGAAGACCCTTCAACCAGATGAACCAACACAGTGGCAGCAACAATGGGCTCAAACATAACAACAACTGTGAGGATGGTACAGGACCATTCTGTTGCCTATAGAGCCTCTACGAGATGGAACCAACTCCGTGTTGGCGCCTGACAACAACAACAACAATGGGGAAAACAAGAGGCCACCTCTAGGGAGGCACTGTCAATTAACCGGGACAGAACTGCTCACAGTGTGTACATGGTGGATTTGTGCTCCCAGTTCTCCAGGGTATCTGACAAACATCTCATCCTCTAGTTGTAATGCTATGACCATAAATTAGAATGTAACTTCTTCAAAAAATAAGATTCTTTAACTGGACCAATACCCTAGTTATCAAAGAATGCTATGGAACAGTGGTTCTCAACTGGGGGCAACTTTGCTTACCCAGGAGATGCCTGGCACTGTCTGAAGATCTTTTTGGTTGTCACAAATGGGAGAGGACACTACTGGCACCTCCTGACATGACCAAGACAGCTCAGCCTGCCACAACAGAGGCTAATCCAACCAAAATGTCAACAGAGAAAGGTTGAGAACCATTGCTGCTAAAAAAAACATGTCTAAATACATTTTAGAGACTTCATTTGGACGCGTTCATGCCAAACCCCTTGTTCACTTGATATTCACATATCAGCATTCATCTACCGCCTTAAATGTTTCCCTGAAGACTTGACCAGCTCAGCAAGTATACCAACATTTCCTCTTTCTCTTTATTACTACCAATGGCAAGGACATGAAATACGAACTCCCTTGCCGGCTACCCCACCACCTACTATACAGCTGTGTTTTGCCCTTGAAGTTCTCCACCTCCTCTTACTGGGTTACATCATTGCTAGATTTATTACAAAGATGAAGACTATGAAATTGAACAGGGAAAGAGGAAACTAACCAGCCTGTGACCATATTTATTGGTTGATCTCTGCGTGGTATGGGAGTGACACAGGCCTGAAGAGAAAACAGTGAACCAGTCACACAGAGACGGGAGGTCATTTAAAATCAAAACTGACATTCTAATCCCCTGAATCTGATTTTTGAAGCTGCATCATATTGCCCTTTTTTCCTGGGGTAACACACTGTGGTATCAAATTTTATAGTAGTAAAGGGGTCGATTTAAATGGTGCAACAAGCAGGTTTGCTATGTAACTTAGAGAAATGGACTGCAACAGTGCCGAATCAATTTTCTAGTACAAGTCTGCATGGTGGGGTGGTAAAATGTGCTATTGAAAACAGAAAAATGACTCAAAGAAGTCGGTTTTTTAGCATATTTTCTGAGAATGCACAGTTACCCTAACAGCAGAGGAAAAGACAAGGCTTCTAAAACCTAACCCACATGGTTTGCAGCCCTATGGGAAACTTTCCTGAGTTGTACATGTACTTCTGTCCTAATGTCCAAATTTCTTGATTTCCAAATGTGTTACATATTATCTTACGGACAAATGAGTGGGCTTTAGAATATCAAAGAAACACATCTGTATCTCTTTGAAGATTGGTTGATCAGAAAGCCCAAGAGACTTAGCTTCTAGGAGGATCGGAGATACCGTAAACAAAATAAAAACAAAATGCAAGTATTTCACTAGCTCGATGAAAAGAGTCTTATAAGAGAACAAAATCTGTTATCCTCATCTTGGGCACTGGTTTTGCCTTCAGAGCTTCCAGTTGGTTCTGACTCATGGTGTCATTATGTCTAATGAAATGCCTGGTTCTGTACCATCTTGATAGCTGATATGTTCTTGAGAACTATGAGGGGGCTTCAAGAAGTGTGTGGAAAAATCCATTACCTTTTTTATTCCATCTTTCCATGAAGTTGTTGAAGCCCCCTGATATTCTATGCCTATATATCTACTGATGCGTACTTACTTTTCCTAATTAAATCATCAAATTCTTAAGGGCAAGTGTTTGTCTAACTCTTAACAAAAACTTCTGCCCTCTAGGCATTAAAAGATTTACAATAAACAATCATGAATTTTGAAATGGTCTGTCTTGATACGGCTGCTCATTTAAAGGTACAAACAAAAAGCTAAAAGGAAAAAGAAGGGATGTCGGGGTGGCAAAACCAATAGAAGAACCAAAATAACTCATTAGAATGAAAAGGGAAGCATCATTTTCCTCTCATTTTCTCCCTTTCCATTTTTTCTTACCTATCGTTGTGATTACAAATCAGGCTGCTAATCTCAAGGTCAGCAGGTCAAACCACCAGCCATTCTGTGGGAGAAAAATGAGGCTTTCTGCTCCCGTAAAGATTAACAGCTTCGGAAACCCTATGCAGGGTGGCTATGAGTTGAAATTGACTCCACGGCATGTTTCCACCACTACCACCATGTACTCATGCACCATAAATCCAAGTAAATTCAATATTCTCTCAACTGAAAATTGTCTCAGCTCTTAGATTTAAAAAAAAACAAAGTTACTATCCAGTCAGTTCTGACTCAAGGAAACACCATATGTGTCTGAGGAGAGCTCAGTATTCAGTGGCTGCTTCTTCCAAATAGCCTCTGGGTGGACTCGAGCCTCCAACCTTTCAGTCAGCAGTCAAGCTTAATGGTTTGTAGCACACATTAGGAATGACAAATCCTAACAAAGGAACTGGGGATTTGAAGATAGGAACACTAGTGCGATAAAAGTCTCAGCAACAAGAGAGCATTCAGTTCATTCCCGGAAACCAATGCTGACATTTCACAGCAATGATCCCTGATATTTAGAATCATGACACTGAAAAGTTCAACTTCCTACATTAAATAAGGCTTGATTATGTTTACCAGGCTGGACTTTGAGGCAAGAAAGTAGACGATTATATTTCAAAAAGATTATTACTAATAAAGTTCAAAACAAAAATAATGTTTATGCCTAATCCTTGGTTATCTAAAAAAATATAATGAACTGCACTGGTTATAGGGTGGTGTTGTTGTTGTTAAGTGTCATCGAGTCAGTTCCGACCCACAGTGACCCTGTACACAGTTTCTGAGGAGTGGCTGGTGAGCCTGAACAGGTGCCGGTGCAGTTCAAACCAACTTTGCAATCCAGTGCATTAACCCACAGCACCACATCAGGACTCCATATTATAGGGTAGAGACATGTTAATTTGAGTGACAGGAAAGCAATAAACAAAAAAGGGAAGGGTAATATACAAGAGGGAGTTTGGCAGAAGACAGATGAAGACATGGGGAGGGATGGTACACAAGGGTTAAAGGGGATAGAAGTAGATAGATAGATAGAGAGAGAGAGAGAGAGAGATAACCTTGGAACAACAGTGTTCTGTGTGTAGATACATGAACAGAGACACATATGCTGACTGATTCAGGGAAGAAGAGCAGACCGTGTGTATGTGTATATGAATGTACATATGTGTTTGTGTGTGTGTGTGTGTGTATATACATTCATATGTCCCACAGATATACAAGAGTGTGAAAGAGGATATTGGCACATGAGTATTTACCTTTCCTGCAAACACCACTACGAATGTGGGGGAGTATACAACGGACAAAACGATGAGAAATTATGAAACATCTGAAGAGGCCTGGGAGCTCAGGACCACAGTCTCAGGGGACACGATGGTCAACTGGCACAACATAGCCCACAAAGACAAGGCTCTATATCCTACTTTGGTGAGTGTTGTTGTTGTTGTGTGCCTTCAAGTTGATTCTGACTCATAGTGACCCCTATATAGGGTTTCTAAGAATCAGCTGGTGGGTTTGAACTGCCAACATTGCAGTTAGCAGTCCAGTGCTTATCCTACAGTACCACACCAGTACTCCACGTAGACTCTGGGAACTGTCAAATACTCAAAGATGCCTTAAAGAGTCTAACATCCTGATGAATTTTACCTCAAAGATCATTAAATCACCACTAGTCTAAGTACCTGGCAAAGAACAGCCTCTCCTCCATGTGTCCCAAAAGGCACTTGCACGATCATCCTGTCCTTGTCCTCGTTGTCCAGATGACCCTGGAGCTTGCCCAGGCTGAGCCGCTCCCCAGGGCCCTCCTCGTAAATGCAGCCACTGCTTAGGACACTGAGCTTCACTTCACTTTGGTCAGCCCTGGAGAAAACCAAGTTCTGGACTGCCTTCTGCAGTGCCCCCTTGCTTGTTACCTGGAAGCCACCAAACGTGAAGGACGAAGACAAACCCAGCACCTTCCCTCCCTGAGAAAGATAGACCATGATCTTCTGGAACAGAACTTCAGGGATGGGCTCCTTGGTGGCAACCACCAGCAGCAAGCAGTTGTCTGGCCACGGGTCTCTGAGAGCACTCTCCTCCAGCAAATGGTAGACCGTGTACTGGTCTGTGTCCACACAGTCAGCCAGAACTGCCAGAACCTGCTGGCATCTGGCGAGGGTTTCCTTAGAATCAGGGCCCACGTAGACTAGGATGTTGGGTACCTTGCCAGTGATGTGGACTCTCCTCCCTTCTCTCTCAGCACAAGGCTCATCAGCAACACTCTCCAAGCTGCCGCTGCAATCATAGGGAAGCTCTGGAATGTTCTCTGCAGATGCACACTTGATCGACTCAATGGTGCTATTCTCCAGTTCCAAACACTCGTGGCAGCTAGACAGATGGAGATGACAATGCTCAACGGAGCCTGCCCCTCTGTCACTTTCCCCAGAAGGCTGTCTCCCCGAGGCACTGTCTCGCCCCTGTTCGGGTTCTTCACCATGAACCTCCGGGTCATCTTTGTCAACCTGTGCCATAGTGTCCCACTCAGGCTTAATCTCCACAGAAGAGTCGGGGTCCGACTGAATGACCGGGGCTTGCGTGGTTGGGGCCTGGTCCTTAAGTTCTTTCAGAGTGGAGTCCTGCAAGTGTACTGCTAAAGCAAAAACAGGAAAGGCAGTCCATCAACACTTGTTGTCTGTCATGTGTCCCAGTTCAAGAACTTCATGACGCTCCTTGGGTACACTCTGACACATACACCAGGACAGCTCACCCACCCGGCTCCTACACTCACTCTTCCCCTAGCTCTGCAGCAGCATCCTTTACAATTACACTCATTGCACCCACATGCTAGGAGGGTGATCATAATGACCCAAGTGAGATTCCAAGTTTCCACAACTTCTTTCTTCTACAAAATGAAGAACTTACAGCTCTTCCTTCCATTGTCCCTACAACTGGTGAAGAAAGTAAGATTCAGAGAAGTGATTTTGCCCAATTACTTACATTCAGTATCTTGGGTGTTAATTACCCCCTGGGCTTTTTCAGTAGTCCTTGGGTGGTACAAATGGTTAGGCACTTGACTACTAACTGAAAGGTTGGCAGCTTGAACCCACCCAGGGGTATCTTGGAAGAAAGTCTTGGTGATCTACTTCCAAAACACTGCCAGCAAAACCCCTATGAAGCACTCTGACACACACGGGGTCACCGTGAATTGGAATCAACTCAACAGCACCTGCAACTGATTTGGATTGTTTTGTTGTTCTTTTAATTTCTCTTTAATCTCCTATACAATTGTTGTTGTTATTAAGCACACTTGAGTCAGTTCACACTCATAGCAACCCTGTATAGGGTTTCCAAGGAGTGGCTAGTAGGTCTGAACTGCCGACCTTGTGGTTAGCAGTTCACTGTTTATCCTAAAGAACCACACCAGAACTCTATTGGGTAATAGAAGAAATAACAAATTAAAGAATTCCTTAAATCAAATGAGAATGAAAACACAACATACCAAAACCTTTTGGACACAGCAAAAGCAGTGCTCAGAGGACAATTTATAGCAATAAATGCACACATCAAAAAAGAAAAAGAACTAATATCAACACCTTAATCCAACATCTCCAACAGTTAGAAAATAGCAGCAAAATAAGTTTACACTCACCAGAAGAAAATAAATAATAAAGATTAGAGCAGATAAATAATAAAGATTAGAGCAAAAATAACCGAAACAGAAAAAAAAATCAACTAGAGTAGAAGTTGATTCTTTGAAAAGATTCACAAAATTAACAAACCACTGACAAATCTGACAAAGGGACAGAAGGAGAAATTGCAAATATCATGAATAAGAAATGAAACTGATGATATCACAACAGAACCAACTGCAACAAAAAGGATAATAACAGAATACTAAAAAGAACTGTACACCAAGAAATTTAAAACCTAGAAGTGAATGAAGTTCTAGAAACACACTACCTATCTAAAGTAACAACAACAAAAATAGGGTACATGTATGAATGTTACACCATTGTGGTGAAATCAAATCTGTTGATGAAATCAAAATGAAAGTAAGCATTACCCTTAAGCCATAAGCAAAGGAGGACTTAGAAATTCTTAAGCTAACAAACTATAATGACATACTATGATGAAGCTGTTTTCTAGAGTTACTTACAGACTATCTTTTGGGGTACCAGTCCATTGTCCATATGAAGTCTATCTTCCATGAACGCTACCCCCAGCTTGCTGAAGTCATCCACAGTTGCTTCAGCAATTAATTGATAAGGATCTCCAGGTCTGCAAGCTAACAGCAAGCAACAGTCAGACCACTGCACAATCTGAGAAAAAAAAAGGTGAGGGAGAAGAAAGAAAAAGAGAAGTTGATATTTTTTCATCTCTAAAATAAGCAGATGTTTTATTTTTCCCTTCAGATTGCCACCATTTACATCCAAATAAACAAGTTGCTAGACATCACACTTGATTAACATCAGAGTTGCTTAGGCACAAACATTCACATTTCCACCTGACAACAGTGCTCAAGCTGTTGCCATCAAATTCTGACTCATGGTGCCCCATATGTGTCAGACTACAACTGTACTCCACAGGGATTTCAATGGCTGACTTTTCACAAGATCATTAGGCCTTGCTTCTGAGTTGCCCCTGGGTAGACTCGAACCTCTCACCTTTTGGTTAGCAGCATATGTGTTCACCATTTGCAACAAGTAGCCAGGGACAACAGTGCCTACAAAGCACTAAACATAGCCCTCTTAAAGTCTCAAATACTTCACAAAAGTACACAATGAAGGAAGACTCATTCCCAGAGTCTGAAAAACAGAATGCCCATTTATAATGGAAAATAAGGCAAGAACAACAAGGCTACATTAGCAGCTTGTTGTTAAGTTGCCATGGAGATGGTTCCAACTCAGAGCAACCTGTACAGGGTTTCCAAGGAATGGTTAGTGAGCTTGAACCTCTGATCTTGTGGTTCAAACCGACTTTGCAGTCTCACGCATTAATCCACAGCGCTACACATTAGCAACTCGTAAGCCCAGCTTTTCTCAAAGTGTAGCCCAAAACCACCTTCCCCAGGACCACCCAAGAGCACAATAAAACTTCAGAGCCCTCCTCCCGATTGAATAAATCAGATTCAGTGGCATTGGAGCCCAGGCATCAAAATTTGTAAATGCATTTCCTCAATGACTCTCGTTGTTGCTGACCCATAGCGACCCTGTATAGGGTTTCCAAGGAGCAGCTGGTGAGCTTGAACTGCTGACCTTGCAGTTCAAACTGCTTTGCAGTCTGGCGCATTAACCTACAGCGCCACACCAGAAAAGACTATTAGGCTCCCTAAAATGTGAAAACACCTTTCAAGTCAAAGATTCACTAAGTCCTTGCTGCCTTCCTCCTTCCTGGCTTAGCCTTGGCCCAGTAAATTCACATTTCCACCACAAGAGGGCAGGATTATGAGAGCAAACAAAAGTCCTTGTGCCTTCTAGCTTTAAAAGAAATTTGAAGCTCCGACATCAGTTATCTGCAATTGCTCTGAAGATTTTCCAGGGGAGAGAGGGAGCCCATTGGAGGTTAAAAGCCTGGCACTGGAGTCTGAGGACCTGAGTCCGTCTGTCCTGAGGCAACTCTCTGAACCTCTCAAATCTCAGCTTTCTCATTCTGAAAACAGGAATTTAGGTATCCCCTGCTTTTCCAAAGTTTGTTTTATGCCACTCCACTTTTTACAAAAGATGTACATTAGTACCTGTTTTTGCTATCCGAAAGAAATCTGAAGAGGACTTTCACTTTTACAAAAAAAAAAAAAAAAGCAAAATGTGAAACTAGCATTCCAATGCTTGTTTTGCAAGGATTTGTTAAAAATGCACTGTTCATTTGGGGGGTGGGGGGAAGAGTGGTGTAGTCAAACTCCTTCCCCCAGAAACGGCACTCAACATCTCAGCATCCAAATGCCACAGCTTTGGACTGTTCTGTGAACACTATGTTGTTGTTGTTGTTGTTGTTGTTGTTAAGTGCTGTCGAGTTGATTTCGAACAATAGCAACCCTGTACAGGGTTTCCAAGGAGCAGCTGAGGAGCTTGAATTGCCAACCTTGCAGTTCAAATGGCTTTGCAGTCTGGTGCATTAACTCACAGCACCACACCAGGACACTATAAGGTAGTGTTATTTACAGTTCTTTGTGTTGCTTGGTATGATTTGTTTCAAGATTTTGGGGGTCTAGAAATGCTAAAAAAAATGGTCCCCATGTAAGAGTAATTGCTTCTTCGCTTTACACTATTTAGAAATATGAAATGTTTCATTGGAATGCTCTCCTTTCAAATAATGGAAAAACCTATAATAATAATGTTGTTGTTAGGTGGCATCCAGTTGGTTCAGACTTAAAGCAACCCTATGTACAACAGAACACAACACTTAAAGACACTTATTATTTTCTGGGGGGTTTTCTGACCTTAGCCATTTTAATGGGAGTGAAATGGCGGCATATCATTGTGGTTTTCATCTGCATCTTTCTGAAGGCTAATGATGCTAAAGTATCTTTTCATATGCTTGGTGACCATTTGAGTGTCTTCTTTCACTAAATGTCTATTCAAGTCCTTTCCCCGCTTTATATTTTGGTTGTTTGTCCTTTTACTGTTAAACTGTCAAAGTTTTATATATGTATTGGTTATTAGATTGTTGTTAAGTGCCTTTGAGTCGGTTCCGACTCATAGTGACCCTGTATAGGATTTCCAAGGAGCGGTTCATGAGCTTGAACCGCCGACCTTGTGGTTCAAACCAACAATGCAGTCCAGTGCATTAACCCGCAGCACCACACCAGGGCTCCTGGCTAATAGATTTACGTACAGTTTTATATCAGAGATATCATTTTCAAAGATACTCTCCCAGTTGGCAGCTTGTCTTTTTACTTGTTTTATGTAGTCTTTTTAACTTTCATGAGGCTCCATTTATTTTGTCTTTTGCTCCTTGTGCTTTTACTATTATATTAGATAATGCAGTGTTGAAAGCTGGGCCCAACAACAGTCCCCTGTATTTTTTCCCTAAGAATTTAATGGTTTTATAGATTGAACATTTAGGTCCTTAATCCACTTGAATTTGTTTGCAGATTCCTGTTTCATTTTTCTGCATATGGAAACTCCTCCAGAGTGTTTTTAATAGCTGGTTTTCAGAACCAGATCTCCAGGTCTTTCTTTTGAAACACCTCAGGGTGGGCTTGATCCTCTAGCCTTTCAGTTAGCAGCTGAAAGCATTCAGAGAGCATTAACTATTAGCTCCAAATCACCCCCAAGGGGGCAAGTATTGCTTCTTGGAGGGATGAAGAAAATCTTAGCTATCACAATGGTATGTGGCACTCAAAAGTTCAACTGACAAAATCTTATTTCTTAGTATGGCATTTCTTTCACTAGAGAGAATTTAAATTTAATTTTTCTACTTGGTGGAGGGTTTGATAGCTAAAAAAAAAAAGGTGAGAACCGCTGTCTTAGAATAAATAATAAATGCAGGCTTCTTTGGCCAAAAGGTTGGAACTCACTAGCTGGTTTGGAATAGTTGGAGGAAGAGAGAAAAGCTCCGAATTTTCTGTGTTCTACTTGTTACCTTCCTTCCATTAATCAATCGCCTACTTAGTGTAGTAGGTTATGAGTTGGGCTGCTAATTGCAAGGTCAGTAGTTTGAATTTACCAGGCACTCCACAAGATAAAAGAGCTCTGGTAGCATAGTGGTTATGAATCGGGCTGCAAACTTCAAGGTCAGCAGTTCAAAACTACCAGCTGCTCCTGGGAAGAAAGATGAGGCTTTCTGCTCCCATAAAGATTTACAGCCTCGGAAACGCTGTTCAGGGTCGCTATGGGTCAGAGCCGATTCAAAGGCACTTAACAACAACTACAAGAGAAAGATGAGGCTTTCTGCTCCCATAAACATTTACAGCCTTAGAAACCTTATACAGGTTGCTATGAGTCAGAACCGATTCCACAGCACACCACCTACCATACCAGATCCAGCAAGAGTGAGCCAAACCTTCTTGGAAGGTCAAGTCTGGTCAACGTTTTACTGGAATTCTACATCTCAAATAGGGCACCTTTGATCCACAATGAGAGGATTTCTAATATTCACTTGTTTGCAGCTTTGGGAACAGAGGAAAGGATGTCTGCTCAGGAAGATGAGAATATTAGCTAAGGCCATGGGAAAGGCTGAATTTTCAGATGACAGTGATGGGGGAAAAATGAAGAAGACCTGTTCAAAAGCCTGTATGAGCCTAAAAGCATTGTTGTTCTCAGAGCTTCAGTTCTTAGTTGGCACCCAAAGGAGGAGCAGGAGAAAGGGTCGTTGGGAGCTCACTGGGCCTCAGTGGAGATCCAGTCCAAAATTCCGCTATCAAAACACCAATTTCATAACCTATGCGCATTGAAATGGGAGCTTTGCTTAAAAGTGGGTAGTTGGTGTAAAAGGAGCCAATAATTAAATTCTCCCACAGCTCTTCAGGAGGGCAGCCTCAGAGATAAACAAAGGAAGAGGAAGGGCAGGAAGAGGCAAAGAAGGTGATATGCATAGCTCCCTGATCAAGTTTCTTCACTGCCTCTCCATCTAAGTGCATTTCCTTGTTCTAGGAACGTGGGTCAGCAGCCACAGACCCTGCAAATGGTTCCAAACAATACTGTGTACTCTGATCAAAGCAAGACCCCCAGATACAGATACCTCTTCCAAGGTTGTGTGCCTTCCAGTGGATGAAAGCAAAAAAGGACACTTCAGATCAGAGCTTCAACTCAGAAACAAAAGGGAAGAGAAATAAAGGAAGTTAAGTCAAAGGCTCACTGCTATAGATCAAAGCTAACAACCTCTGGTTTGTCCTAAACAAAGGGATTTCCTGTGATAAACAGCATGCAGGAATCTGTTCAATAACCAAAGCGCTTGACTTGGTGTTACAATTTATTATAGCAAATGCCGTATCTGCTCCACTCAAACTCACGTGCCAAGAGAAAGCCCAAGACTGAAAAGGCAACCAGGCATAATCCTTTTTGTTATTGTTGTTGTTAAGTGCTGTCCCCAGATTCATAGTAACCCAGCATAAAATTTTGGGGGAATGACTGGTGACTTAGAACTGCCAACCTTGTGGTTCAAACCAACCTACAGCGCCACACCAGGACTCCCTTTTATCCAAATCATCAGCTTTGATAATTTTTCTGTTTCTGTTTCTCCTCTTCCAAATCCATTTAGTTATATGTGG